AAAGTTCAGTTCAGTTCAGTTCATAGGAACACTAGTCTCTGCTGTTGTTTTTGACCAAATTTTGCAAATTATAGCATTATATCTAATTGTGTAGTTGCGAAGTGTACCTCTAAACATTAACTTTTCATTAGAATATAAGTATCACTGAATATAAAGATCATATTTAAGATATCCAAGTTTTTTAAACCTTTATACAATATACTCTTTTCTTTTTTAAAAGTATTTTTGGTGTACCTAGATATTTTAGTAAGTTTATTGCACAAAATGAAAGCTGAAAGTCTTGGTAAAAGTCAAAAGTCCTACTAAAAATTGGAAGTCTGATAAAAGTCCTAATAAAAGTCAAGAGTCTTATCAAAATATGATTGAGGATATCAAGTCTAGAAAGTAGACAGGTTCACAACTTCATTAATGGGTAGGTTTTTAATAATTTTAATAATAAGTAGATTTATGATTTCAATTGTAAATGGGTTAGTGATTTAATAGTGAGAGTTAGTGGTTTCAATATTAAGTAAGTTCGTGATTTTAATAGTAGGTAGTTTCATTATTTTAATAGTGAATTGGTTTACAAGTTTAACAGTAATGATATTAGCAATAAATTGGTTTGCAATTTCAATAGTAGGTTGGTTAATAGCCTCAATAGTTGGTAGGCTTATAACTTCAACAGTATATAGATCTATTATTAAGTGGTTTGTTATTTTCATAGTGAGCAATTCATGATTTTGACAATTTTGGTAACTTGTTAATATTAATTTCAATGATTTCAATAGCAATTCATGATTTTAACAATAGATGAATTTTAGGTTCAACAGTATATAGTTTATAATTATAGCAATAGATAGATTTATAACACTAGCTAAAATAAAGCATATCGAACAAATAAATTTTTTTATTTTTGATATGCATTAATTAATAGCACAACTTGTGTCATTTTAGGCTCATATCAGAAGTAATAGAGCTATCATTAAAGTATCTTCAAGATATCAATTAGTACTATATTAGAACTAAAAAAAATTATAATATTTACTCAATATACTTTATTTTGATCAGTGTGGCTTAGTATTGGATGACTTAAGAGTATAATAGTGAATGAGTTTATAATTTAGAAGTAAGCTTGTGATTTTATGTTTTCAATAGTGAGTAGGTTCTACTATATAAGTAGTTGGGCTTATGACCTCACAATAAGTTCAAAATTTTTGCAATTTTATTGTTCAGCAAATATAGTAATTTAAACTATTATCTAATGATTTTAGTACTGAGCAGCAAATCATGGTATAGTAGCAAGCCATTAGCAACTTATTAATATTCATTTATTATCATTCATCTTACTGAAATTAAGGATCAAATGTTTAACTATATAAATTTTTTTTATAGTTGAGATAATACTTTATAACTAAACTAAATATTTATTCATGCAAAACTATAAATAATATTAAAAAAAAAACTAAATATAAAGACCTCAATGCTGAAGAATGCAGAACTTATCTAAAATTTGTATCTTTAGATTGCTACACTATGCCTAAAAATAGGTGAATTGACAATATAACTTGTTTTCAAGAAAATATTAAAATTTTGACCCTTCTTTATTCAATACATCATCATTAATCAATCATACAATTATACATAAATACAATCATATAACATTTCTGGTTCTAGCATGACTATGTCGTGCTAGTATTAGCACATGACCTTTTATAACCTATATGACTTATATGACTAGTCATAGGTTATTTGGTCATTGTAAAATGGTTTATAACCTTATGACCTTATAACTTATATAATTATATTATACCAAAATATATTATACATTAACTAAATACTTGTCAAATTATAAAAATACTATTCTTTAAAATAAAATATAATAGTATTCGAATATAAATCAAATTTTAGTTTTCAAATACCTAAATATACAGTAAATTATAAGAGAACTATATAGAACTTAGTTTTTTTTATTATATCGAATATAACTTGTATTTAGCAAATATAAAAATAAATTTATTAAGTTTGTAAAAACATTTTCGCTTTTTATAAGCTAACAAATTTATTTTTAATTACAAACAAGTATATTAAACCAATTACTAACTATCAGTAAATGTAATAGTTGAATCTAAAAAGTTTGGTACTCTAGATTAGTAATAAAAAGCAATTCTAATGACCATTTTGCTGACTCATCATCAGCAGTATGAATAGTTCACCCACTTATTTCAAAATCCGTATCCCATTCTGAAAAAAGAAAAGTTGCATCATCAATATTATCAAATTGATTTTTATATTCTATATTATTAATCTACTCATCTATAATTAAATTTCAACATTCTTCATCTTTTTTAGTATTTGGTTCATTGTCGTAGTTGTTAGAATTTTTATTTAACTTTTCACTTTCTTTGTTAACTTCTTGATTATCATTATTATCACTATTGTCAGATTCTTCTAGAATAATTGGTGTTGCTATATGAAGCTGATAGACTTTTTTTTCTCTATTTTGTAAAGCTTTAATATTTCAATTATAAGTAATATTACTTTTAATTTGTGCCATTGTGAGAACCTTTTTTGTCTAAAAAAATTATTATATAAAGTATAAATTATCAATTAAAAAAGAATTAATATAAATATTTAAAAAACAAAACTTTAAGCCGATTTCTTCTATTAGTATATAAATAGCCCATATTAGACTACAATCTTTTGACAGATGCTGAGTTTATACAAATCCTATATATTTGAATTGCAATCTTAGCCAATTCAAATCCTATACCACTAGTAAATCCCAAAAATTAACTAATTCACCTTGAAAGTGATTAAATGAATCATCATTATATGGATTTAAACCTTTCATATAACACATAAATTCTGCTAAAATAGACTGTGGCTTATTACCAAACTATGCTTCATAATAATATTTTAACCATTATCCAAGATATACTAAAGTCAAATTAGATATAGACATTTGAAATTTTGAAACCCTATATAAAGGGTGAAGTACTATTAAAAGAATTAATAATAGTTGTTCCCATTGATACCAGCATTTTTCTATTCATTTAATCATTTTTTCTGAAAATTCTATATCTAAATATTCACTAAAAATTTTTGTTACATATACAAAACAATGAATTACTTCATATAAGCTTGCTATATCTTTTTGAAGCTTATTTAAAAAGCAACACAAAGGATATAGTAAATTTTGAAGCTCTAAAAAAGCTATCTAAAAATCATTATCATTAATAATATCTGCAATGTTATCTGGTAATTTTTGTTCACTATTACATTTTTTTGAGGTATTGTTTGGTTCTATATTTGGAATACTATTTGTTCAAATTATATTTAACTGATGTTCATTAAATTTTGTAGAGATAAACTATAAAATAAAAATAAATATTTAATAATAAATTATAATTTTAATAAGTTTATAAGTTTATAAGCTTTACCTTTAATGCAACTTTAGTCTTTAAAATAGAATAGAAACAAAAATAGTAACTATTCTATCTTGTATCACCAGGTGATATAAGCGATATAGTTTTATTATAAATTCGAGTTTGTTCATTCCTTAAATGTCTAGTAAAATATAGCGATTTGTGAAAATAACTAACTATTTGTATAGCTTCAGCAGAGATTCATTTATAACATATATTTTCTTTAAAAATATTACCAAATACAAGGTTCATTTGGTGTGCTATGCACGGAAGGAATATTTTGTCTGGATATTGTCTTCGTAATTGCTTACTAAATTATAATTTTACAAATTATAATTAATAAGATTAATAATTGTTTTATAAAAAAATTATATAATTTTTAAAAAAAATTACTGTGCTGCAGTATATTCTCCTGCAGAATCAGAAATAAAAGCCTTTATATTTTTTCCTTCTTTATTTGTTTTAATCATTAAATTTTTAATATATTGAATTATATAAATAAAAATTTGTTTGTGGACTAAATTTGGTCTGAGACAACAATGCAAATGATGATTGAAGTAT